CCCCCCCCCCCCCTCATCATGAACAGGTTTTCAACAACCTTGCGACGGAGAGGACTCTGAGGCAGCGCATGATCGAGGAAGGCGCAGCACCGGCCATCATCGCCCTGGCCGCCTCCTCCCACAACCGCCACCTGAGGAGCCAGTGCGTGGAGGCCCTGTGTAAGCTCGCCGTGGTCCCGGGCAGCGAGGCTCAGATCATCGCTGAGGTGAGGGGGTGGTACGGGGTATATACGAGGACGGGACACAGACGCTGGACGGAACCCGAGGCCAACATGATGAAAACGCGAGTCCTGAGCAGTAGAAGCACCGTGTCGGGAACTCCGTTGAAAAGGTCTCGAGAAACGTGTTCACAACCCCGCGCACGACTTGGGGCGTGAGAGAGAGACTCCTTGCTCGTGTGGCGGTCCTCCTTTAACTTAAGGTCGAGGGCCCTGAAAGGAGTTGGGAGGCAAGGGTACGCATGCGTTTCTCCACAATAATTCGCATAGTACGTCTGTGTCCAGCATCGGGTTCTGCGCCAACGAGTTTCGTTCCGCCCTTCAGACGCTCGCATCACAAGGCGCTTCTCAACCCCCCCATGCTCGCGTCTTTTGCGTGCGCGATGGAATTGCGAGGGCTAAGGCACCCCGAAAGCGGCGAACGCTTGAATGAATGGTTGTCAAATCGTTTTCTCGAATGCCCACCTTGCAATACGTGCCGCGCCGTGCAGGGAGGCGTGTCGTGCGTTCTGGCGGTACAGCGGGCGGTGCCGTCGCTTGGAGGGGTAAGTCCCGTCTTGACCTCTACCTGGGATATTTTCGGGAGACAGACACCTCACCGCACCGTTCTTTGTGTTGGCGCTGGATGTTGTGAAAGACAAACTTTAAGCCTGTGTCGGGGCTGAAATCCAGGAAGCGGCATGCAGTTGGTGCGGGCTCTCGTACATAGAGGACCACCACACGTTGGCAAACGCGGAGACGTGCTAGGTACCCGGATCTGCACAGCACGGGATGCCTCGCATCCGTCATGTCTACCTTGCGGTGGTACTGCAGTTCACAGAAAAACTCACTCGTGTAGGGGCAGACTCCATGAAGGCCCCCTCCGGCTGCACGGAGATCCTATGACGTCATTCGCTTCGATAACGTCATCGCCTTGGTACCGAAACCAATGCTCGTCTCCCGTCATGCATCCTCTCTGTGGCACCCCTGCGTCTTGTGGTGAAATGTTGAATTGTTTCCCCACGTGCAACAACAGGTGTGCCTGAAGACTCTGATTAACTTGTCCTGTCCGCCGGGGCTTTCGGACGTCAAGATGGACGAGCTCAATGATGCCGCTCTACAGGCAAGGATAGCTGTCCGGCAAAAGGAGCGAAGTATGTCGGAGTATGGGAATGGGGGGAAGGGGGGTGGGGGGTGGGGGCACCGAGGTGCACGGTGACGCTCTGCTCGCTCGTACATGCTCTGCTTCGCAGATTTTCGTGGACAGGCCACTCCACCAACTGGCGTTCCCTTAAGGGTTTTCTCCGATACATCCTGATTATTCGTCCGCCCCACGGAAGAGAAAGAGGGGAAAGAAAGTGGGGCCGACCCGGAGGCGTGAGCACAGATGGGCATTTGAATGCGCCGTCACGTTGTCCGGTTCGAGGTTCTAAGAGAACGGAGACGTGGACATGACAGCTCTCTGGTGTCCCACGGTAGCCAGCGGTTTAGTTTCTGTACATAATTGCTTTTATCTGCGCTCCACGTCTGGAATCACTGGAGCCGCCGCATCAGGCGTCGAGCACTTGAACGTGCATGTCTGCATGGTCGCAGCCCTTATTTTCGAATCTATTGTGCCTGCCTAAACAGTTGGCTGGAACGGTAGAGGAAGACGAATCGCTAGAGAGGCTCCTAATACAGCTCGTGTGCAACCTATCGGGCTTCAAGAACAACCAACTAAAGTTAGGTGAGTGGGTGTATGGAAGAGTGAATCGTCCACATGATCGCCAGAACAGTATGGAATCCACAGGGATGTCCTCCCTCTCACTCTGTTTTCGTCTTTCCCCTTGTCTCCACCCCAGGCGCTCGACAAGTCCCGGTTGTCCGGCTGTTAGATTAGTTCGGGACACTATCCTATATATGTGCAGGCATCCAGGGAACTCGTTGCTTCGGTGGTCATCATGTACAGTAGCACTGCCATGTTCTTCAGAACGAACATGGGACACACGAAAGAACCCGACTGTGGCTTTAGCACAGAACGCCACCGTCCCAACCGCCGCCTCAAGCCCTAACGTTCGAAGCCGGCCCTAGCACAAGTAGCCTAGGGGACATCACTTTCTAGCTCGGCGAACGTCGCAGGACGCTTTCTCCTGGGAAGTTCGACTCGAACCACTGCTGATGCTGAAGCGGGTGTCGCTTGTGCGGCATACAGACGGTAGCTCCAAGCCTCATCCTTTGTCATGGGTACCACCTAAAACTGTGTAGGTTCTGTTGAAAAAGAAACCACCGTGGAAGAAAGGACGCCGCCTGTTACCTGCGCTCAAAATGAGGCCATGATTTTGCCAAGTGTTCGCATCAGCCAAGTCGCCATTGTTCGTCTCCTTCGAATGATTTCTCAAACACTGCTGCGACACGCGAAAAACCTCCACGCCGCCGCCGCGGTCGTTGAAGTGGAGGAGGGCGCCATCCGCATCATCTCCCGCGCGGCCGAGAGGACCGCTTCGGTGGACGTGGTCCGCCTCTGCGCCCGCACCCTCTGCAACTTCGCCGGGGAAGGGAGGGCCAGGCCCAAGATGTCGGACAGCCGAACGGCACAGGTGTGTGTTTGGCGGCGAAGATGACTGAAGGCCGCACGACGAAGGCGTGCTTGCCTAAGAAAATGTGCGATGGTAGTAGCGACGACTACGACGATGATGATGATTTCAGCCACATTGATCGGGCGTAGCGGAAGGCAAAGACGAGAGCGGTATTGTTGCTATCTCGCCTCTGGTCAAGCACCTTGTATCCGTGTGTGCGCTTGCTCTGAAAATGGCCCACGCCCTACCAGTACCAACGGACGAGACCCACATCCAGCGATTAGCAAGAACATTGGTTCAGTTCGTGAAATTTCAATAGATTTCGCGGGAAACCAGTTGGTCTCATCTTGCATAGTTGGACTTGTGTTGAACCGTTGACAGTAGTAGAAACAATCTTGGCCAACAATAAATTATTAATCGGAGATCAAGAGCGAACTTGGGTTTCTGGTGCGAATACCTCGAAACATACACACGAGTGCCCCACGCCCAGCAGTACCTGTAGTCTCAAGGCGAGAGGTGCGTCACTGCCGTTGCATGATTCCGTCGGAAGGCGCTGTTGAACCTGACGAAGCACGAAGACATCGGCATCCGGCGAGAGGTGGCGCACACGATAGCGAGGCTGGCGGCCGACGCGAGCTGCCGAGAGAAAATCCTGCAGTACGGCATTATCCCGATCCTCGTGACCATGAGCACCGCACCCGACCTGGATGCCACCACAGGCCGGTGAGGGAGAGGGGGGGGAGGGGGGGGGGGACTCATAATCGTGCATGCCGTAGTCGTTAGACCATGGACATCGCATCCCTACAAAGCCGGGAC